AAACCAAGATGACCATTGGATAGAGCTCGTCGAAATCTATCTTGGTCTCGCTTGGTCCCGCTTGGTCCCGGCTATAGGCGAATCCTTGTGGAAAATACTCGAATCCTAATCTAAGGTATCCTACGTTTCCATTCATCACAAATGTTATTTGAAATGATTTTAATGAAATTTGATTCAAATGAATTATTTCGTGTAGAAACATTTCTTGGACCATTTGTTTTAACTTTATTTATTCTTCTTGTTGTTTTCATTTGCTTAAGTATCTTTTTATCAATTATCAATGATAATTTTCGACTTGCACGGGAAAAAGTTATTGAAGATCCAGAAGTATTTTCATATATAATCAAGACATTTTTTCAATGGATTGGTAAAATTCATTAATGAAAGAATATTTTTCTATAAATCTTTATTTTAGGAATAAAAAAACGACCAGAATGGGAAATTCAAGAAGAAAAAGATCAACAAATGCGTGAAAATTATTTTTCTACAACCGATACACTTCGATTACGAACAAATCAATTGGTCAATCAAATTAATCGAGTACGAAATCTTTCTTCTTTACTTTTCTTTTAAAATTCTTTATTTCAGATGTATTTTAATCAACAAACAACAAATGTTTAAAATAAAATCTTTTGCTTTTTCTCATTTATCGCTTTATTTGTTTTATTTTATCTAATTTTCAATAATAAAGATATCGAACAAAATATTTATTCATTGAAAAAACAAATTGAATCTCTTTTTCTTTGAAATTCATTTATATTAAATGAAAATCACATCTTTATTCACACTTTAATCTTTTGTTTATTGAAAAAAACAGTCTTTTTCAAAGAAATGATAAGATTTATTGAGAAAATTCGATTATTTTCTTGATTTATGATAAATAGATTTGAATAATTAATAAAAAATTGATTATTTTATTTAAATTCAACTAAATGTAAAAAACTATTTTGATTTTGATCCAATAAGACTGTAATGATAATGATATCGTTCATCTCTTTCTGTTCTTTATTCTCTCACCTCTATATTATATTATCTCCGGGTCTTCTCTCTCTTCTCTATATAAGCGTGTGACTTATTGTGAAGTAGACACATTCTGATCATGTAGAATAGTCAATAAACATTTTGTGTTTTTGTTGTTCTATTTTCTCTTATTTTTTATTCATTGGATTTTCCAAATGAAAAGAAATTTTTCAATTAAATTGTTATTTCAATCAGTTATATATAAATTTAAATTAACATCGATAAATATTCTATTAGACAGAGAGAGAGATGATCGAATATTCATTTCCAATTGGAAAATCTTATTTGATTTGTATTTGTGTTCAATAATTATTTAATGTTTTTGATTAATTCAATAAAATAAATTTTTATTTTGATCAATAAAATGTTCAAAACATTGTTCATTTGTTTTTCATTATCAACATAAAATTCACCTCGTATTGTCACAAAAACGATACTAAGATAATCTATAAATATAATATAAAAATTGTTTTCATTGGAATGTTATTCTCATACGATCAAATTTGAATTGGATTTGTTTCTTATTTGATAAACATAAATGATGTTGTTTATATCGATAAATAAATCAATAATATTTAATTGAAACTGTTTAAAAGACAATTTCAATCAAATCTATTGATGCATTTGTACAAAATCTCGTTTAATTCCAAATATTACATTTTATCGAATGAAAATACAAATCAGAAAAAAAGATTTCTCCTCTGAAGATCAAACTTGTTTAGTGTAATTTAACAATAATTGTTTTATAAATAACGTTTCTTTGCAGAAAATACAATGTGTGTAGTGTTGTTGAGAAAATAATCAAAAATAGATTTTTAACTTTTTTTACATTCAGAAAATTAAGTTAAATCTTTTATGTCAATCACAATTTATAACGATAAGTGAATCAATCTTATTGATAATTCGAATTCTATTTGTCTTCGTGTGAGTCTAAAATGATCATGATGATTTGTATTTGTTGTGATTTCAAAAATGTATTCAATGAAATAACGTTTGCTTTTACAATTTCAAAATAATGTATTTTATAGAGACAAAAGCTATTCAATGAAGAACTTTGTTGTCTTTTAAAGATTTTCCTGATAATAATTATACAAAAATATTATTATATGAAATCATTATTGTAATTGATCGAAAGTAAATCTCTCACAACGAAATATCGTGGGTTGTACATGAGATTAATCGAGATACTGGAATTTGATTCGTAAGTCCAATACAACGGTAAAGATAACTGCGTAATTTACTCATATATATATATTTAATCATTCTTTATATTGACATATTGTGTTACGAGAAAAGACGAGTTTGTTATTGATAGAAATATTTGAATGAAACAAATGGAAGTGTAATCCGAGATGGAATTTATTTTGAGTTGGTTATAGAGAAAGAAAATTTTGTCGTGTAATCTTTTTCTAAACATCTCTTCAGTTATTGGTGAGAATTTGTTTTCAACAAATACATCTATCGATTTCGGTGAAACGAACTGATAAAACAAAATCACAATTCTCTTTTTATTTTTTCTTTAGAAAAAGATTTTTCTCTTTGCCTTTCTGCATTACATAAAGTTTTCATCATAGTACAGAAAAAAACAAGATGAAATGTCTTTCTACTCTATTGTAAAATCCACTTAAGCTGAAGTCATTTTACTTCTAATCCATGGTAAGTAATATTTAACACGTGCAAAGACACCTGGAAGACCAGTGTCAACACCACAATCAGTAGCACCATAGCTGACAACACCATTCAAATACCTAAGAATATTGAAGATGAAAACTTCAGAGTTTTTTTATTATTTGAAAACTTACCATCGTCCTTCGTATTCGTACATTAAGGGACCTCCTGAATCACCTTGACATGTATAACCAACACCGTGTTTACCAGCACAAATTTGTTTTTCTTGATTGAACTTATTTGAACCGTATGTGAGACATTTATTACCCATAGTGTCCATTTGTGTTTGTTTCAAAACAGGACTTGTCTGTCCAAGATGAGCTGTTCTTCCCCATCCAGCTAAAAACATCAAAAGATGATTGTCACATTCAAACACAGAAAACAATTGAGACTTACAAACCCAAACAGTATCATTGATGTTCTTTGCTTCAGCACCGGGGAGACAAATTATATTGACTGTATCAGAAACCGTGACTGGTTTTGCCAAACGTATCACTGCGATATCATTTGCATTTGCACTGTCAGAATATTGTTCATGAATCCAAATTTTCGACACAACCAATTCTTGTTCCATGTACATTGGCTTATTAATATCGTGTGCACCAATGTATACCTTGTAATTACTTTCTTGAACTGGTGTTTTGATACAATGAGCAGCCGTTAGAACATGACGTGCATCAATAAGAGTACCACCACACATATTGCTGGTTCCTCGTAACAGAATTTGCCATGGCTTTACGAAAAAGAACATCGATATTTTGAGAAGTTTGAATGTCAATACACTTACCCAACTGTTTGCATTTGCATGAAATCCTCCAATGATACGTTGTCTTAAAGGCTGGTATTGTTGTTTACCGCATTCTTTTGGAAAATTTGTTGATGGTGTCGTTACTGGCATACCTTGACAACAGAGACGTGCTTGACCATTTGCTTGCTCGAATTGGACAGCACTGATACATTCTTGCTGTTGTTTATATGAAATGGAGAATTGACCATTTACGGGACTAATCCATTGGGAACAAATTTTACCATTATCACGAATATGAAGTGTGTATGTCTCAGAAGACACGACATTGAAGAAAAGCACCAGAGTTAGAAATGTACGATGTAAAAGAAACATGGTTTTCGTTCTTTCCCTAACTAAACCAAATTACTCTTATTAACAAGTAAAGCACTTTTCCATTCCTTTTATCGTGGCTCGTTTCCAATTATAATTGTAAGCTTGAAAATACGATATACATAGTTGAATTAGGGCAAAATGGCACTATCGAGGGTGTTTTAATTGAATTTAAATCCGTTCATTGTTTTGTTGTTTTTCACGTAGTCAATATACTCAGTATTAGTGTCAAAGTCTGATGTGTATGAAAGGATATAGATGAGAATGTCGGCGAAAGATACAAATATTTACTCTGTCTCTATCTTCGCGATAATTACAGATGTATTTCTCTTTTTATCAAGAATTAAACATTGAAGGTATATATCAAACCCGACGTAGTTTTGATATGACGTTCTTTTGTAGAAATCGAGAAATCTTTATCCTGAAGATATTATTAAAATAATGCGAAAGTCGATCAGTTTCGTTATGATCTCTTCAAATTTTTGAATATTCTCGTTTAACCATACTTTTACTGTGCGCAACAGCCTTTTAATGAGAACGCATATAGTTCTGGGTTAAGGATTTGATTTGAGTCGATCAGAGAGAACGATAAAAACTGATACAGAAATGAATGTGTTCTAAAAATCTTTCATCGATTGCTTTTCATATATAATAGATTTACCGAGAACTTATGCGAATATTGTTCCTCTTTGCTAATTACTTAGTGTTTCAAGTTGCCATTTTGTAGATACATCGATCGTTTTTTTCAACGGATTCAGTTAAAATGATAACGGCACAGTCGATGATATCTTAACAAATTTGATCATAAGGAGCATATGCTCTGACATCGCTTATACACATCGATTATATTTACCTTTCATGTTGATCCATGTCGTCATCGACGAAGAAGATTCACATGAAATGATTTTGTTTGAATGTTTGATAGGGTGAATGTCAATCATAAGATAATTGCTTCACAAAAGCTGCTGGACAAAGAACGACTAGTGATCGTTGATCAGGATCTTCTTCGGTTAATACCCGTATAGTCGTTCTTCACCTGTTGTGTGCATTATATATCCAAGAATTTCTTGCTTACTACAGATTCGAACACTGAATGACGAGTCGAAGAGATCTATTATTTGACGAAGGCATTGTTTGAATGCAACCTTACCGAAAGTTTCTTTGATCTGACACATCGATACCGATTTTTCGGATCAGTAACAACAGAAGAAACAGACGAGTGTGACTTCTGATAGCTTCTATGAACACAACAATTGATGTATAAGTATCAGCAATTCATCTCTGAATAAACTCTTCGCCTTCTCGTCATCCCGTATATAGACCGTGATATTGATTTCTTTCTTGATGAGACCATGTACAATCCCATTTTCAATATCTCTGCTAACTCCAACTACAAACACATGGTCATTATTCGGTAGTAAATTGATGATCAATGAAGCAGAATGAGAAACCTCAGACGATTTTGATAAGGTAGTACATCAGTGTAAAGTAGGACAGAAACAGTGTCTTTGACACGTGTTAATAGAGAAGATAGATGAGAGTTGAGAGATCGTTCTACAGTCTGATGAAACAACGTATGTAACTCACAACTTTCATCAGTCTCAAAATAATTGGAACAAAATGTCATAGTTATTCTAAGAAGTTTTATCAACGTAATAGATCACACTTCATGATGCTATATGTCTATTCATTGTTAAATCATATGTTTTATCTATGTGTTCTTTTTTCAGACAAATGGACAAAGGTTTTGTCGAGAGATGAAACAGTCTTTCGCTCAACAAAAACTGTAGAAATAATAGAATATATGAAAAAGAAATCGAATAGTTACAGTTCACTTACGAGAAAACTACTCGAATTGACTTCGAACTCTTTTCTTCATGTTTTGGTCATAAGTAGAACTCTTACGATATATCGGGAGAAGATAATTCAGTTTGAGTAAAAACTTATACCTTAAAATATAACTCTATAATTTAAATCTTCAAATTAGAATGACAATATAAAGCAAACGAAGATGTGATCACTGTGTTGTTGTACTTCACAACATCAAATATAGAAAATTCAAAGTTGAAAAGACTCATTTTTACAAAATATGATTTCATGATGAAATGAAAACATATCTGAGTAGATGATGTGCAGTAATTGATGATATGTAGTCACGTATGATCCATTATAAGTAATTCAAGACATTATCATTACAAATGAATTTCTTTCCCCTAAGATTATGAGCGAATATTTCGTTATAATCGAATTTGTCGATTGTAACAACAAGGACATTTTAGTAAGAATATAAACCCGTTAATACTTTTTGCAAGATAAAAATTCTAGTAGTGACTTTACACATTTATGTTCATAAAGAACACTAAAAAGTATTTATAACTATGATAGTTTTCCTAAATCACTCACAACTATTTTATACTGTTTGGAAACAGTGTTAGTTTCTAATCTCGAAATTTTTCTCGACAAAATGCTTTTAAATCTGACAGTAATTTCCAATGATTCAGCACCCAAAGCAATTCTACTAGAGATTTTAATGTTTGTGACGAATTATATTCATTTATATCTTCAACTTACCATTTCTTTACTCGACTCAATGGGAATTATTGACAATGTCATAAATAATCTTCAACCTGAGTTAAGTTCAAATACTTGCTGCATTTATCTACTCTGTAGTTCATTCGTTGATGTAATGAGTCTATATGCGAATGTTTTCCCATATTATCTAGAAGGCAAATATCAAATTTATTTCATATGATTATGGTCAACAGAATTATGTAAACTCTTTTAGTTTTTTTTCTACAATTTTCTTGCACAACTGTCTATTAACATTATAATTTTGAGTATCATCGATCGATCTGTTTGTACATGTCCTTAAAAAGTTGTATGATATGTGCAATATAATGATTAACTGTGTTATTCAATCAGTTGTCATGCTTATATTTACTCTATTCATTTACGAAAATATTTGTTTAGACCGACAACGAATGTTAAAGAGAATCAAATAGTGACCTTAGAAATCTGACTTGTTCATTTTAAGATGAAATTATTCGCTCAACTTCATTATTTATTCATTCATTCTTCAATATTTTTTGTATGTTGCATTACATATCTCATGTAGCAAATGATTTTTGAAACAATAAAATGAAGAAAACGCGATTTATAGCTTCAACTGATACTCTCGTCAATCAAATTGTAAGAAAATATTTTATTTTGATGTGAGTGAGACCAATGTCTGCATTCTCGAAAATCAATACCATTAAAAATGTTCGAAAAAGCTTTATGATATGAACTTTATTATAAAATATCATTAAAAATCATATATCAATGAATTGATACTACGTATAAGAAGAATGTTCAATTATTTTCTTGATCAATGATGATAATTTTACAATTTGGAAGGATTATAAACAACATTCGTAATTACAAGATCGTTTTTTCTGATATCATCTATCGTTTGACATCCACACAACATCATCGCCAATCGAAATTCTTTCTTCAATATTTCTAATATATTATATACACCTTGTGTTCCATTTACTGCTAAACCCCATAGAACTGGTCGTCCAATAAGTACAGCTTTTGCACCTAATGCTATAGCTTTTAAAATATCTGTTCCTCGTCGCACTCCTCCATCAACAAAGACATCGATCTGTCGATTTTCATTATTAACAGCCTTGATAACATCTGGTAAAGCATCAATTGTGCTAAGACATGTATCTAATTGTCGTCCACCGTGATTTGATACAACTACACCTTGTACACCATGTCTAACAGCTTGACGAGCATCGTCAGGATGAATAATACCTTTGATAATCAGTGGTAATGATGTGATAGATCGTATCCAATCAAGATCTTTCCATGACAATGATGGATCAAATGGTATATGATAACTTTTTGAAACATAATTATTATCTTTATCAACAAGATTTTCAGCTCGAATTCCATCTGGTAGTGTAAAATTATTGTGAACATCACATTCTCTATTGCCCGGTACACTTGTATCAACTGTCAGAAGTATAGCTGAATATCCATTTTTCTCTGCACGTTTGATTAATTTCTGTGTATATTGTCGATCTTTCAATACATATAATTGATACCATAATTTTGAAGTACTACGAGGATAATTTTCTTTAATTTGTCGTCGATGTTCTTCAGCAACTTGTTCCATACTTGTTGATGAATTTGTACTAACGCACATAATAGTTGAATGAGCTACAGCTGCTCGAACAGTTGCTAATTCTCCATTTTCGTTATCGACTAATCGATGAAAAGCTGTTGGAGCGATGATACACGGAAATCCGATTGTCATTGTTGAATTTAAAATTTGTGTTTGACAATTTGTCGAATCTTGTTTTGTATGTGAAGATACATCGATAAGCATCTTTGGACGCAATTTAATGCGTCGAAAAGCTGCCTGATTGTCAATTAATGTTAATTGATCATCCGAACCAGTGCTGTAAAAATCGTATGTCATTTTTTCTAATTTTTCTTTAGCTTTTTTATGATAATCTTCGATATTCAACAGAGCCTTGGTTCGTTCTGATGAACTGTTTTCTAATGCTTTATGCATGTTGATTTATCTTCTAAATCTAAAAACAAAAATCGGAAGGGTTTTATTGAATGTGAAATTCACCTTTTCTGACTCACTTTCTTCTTCTAGAATGAATAATTCTTGTAGTTAAGTACGATGTTTTATATACTCAAAAGATAAATCTTTTCGTTCGATGAATGATGAAGCGAAAGATAAAAAAAGGTTGAAATGACTTTGTATAACGGATGCCTAGAGATATAAACTGATAGGAGAATGACACAGATTTATTTCGTGTAGAAACGCTTTAAAGTCCAAAGGTCAAAGAAATACTGAAAATTGAAAAGGAAAAGAGCGGTCATTACCATTGTGTGTTCAATTTTTCATGACAAAGAATGTGTAAACTACATTTAAACATCACTACTATCTCTCCGAGACTCATATATCATGGAATAAAGAATAATTATCGAAATGTTTCATTGTCTCAAGAACAATTCGGTACGAAAAAGAACTTTCAAACATATACAATACTAAGATTTATTTCAGTTTCTTCATAATACAAATCAGAATAATAAAAATAAGTTGAAAAGTCTGAGAATATTTCAGTTGTTGGTTTATAACCATTGATAAGGTTTAGCGTGAATAAACGATTTGATTTCAATTCCATTACCGGATGGATCCAAAACGAATAGAACATGTTGTTCGTGTTGTTTACCGAGAAATCGTAAACCTGGTTCACGAACAAAATTTACCCTAGCGTCTTTCAATTTTTTAGCGATTTGATCAAATGTTTCTTTATCAGGAAGCACAACGCCGAAATGTGGAACAGGTACATCTTCACTATCAACTTCTCGTTGTAAATTCAACGCATTGTAGTCGGGAATGACATGTAACGTCAATTGACTACCAAACATATT